TCAGGACTAAAGAAATAACCCCTGCGTAAATAGATAAAATTTCGTTATTATTCGTCGTTAGAAAAGACTCTCAACAACTTGATATTTCAGCCGAAAAAAAAAATCCTTGAAACGCAAGATTTATTTCTAGTAAATTTAATTGAATTTGCCTTGTGTTTCTATATTTCTTTCATTACTTGAAAATGAAGTGTCTACTTCATTTCACTTGAAAATGAAGTATCTACTTCATTTTCAAGTACCAGATAAACGTAAAATTTTGTTCCATTTAAATAGACTTTGCAAAAAATTACGTTAACCAATTAATGATATTTTTTGGTATGAAAATTTGCAGCATATGATAAAACTTTCTATTTTCGATGACCAGTATTATTATTATTAGTGATCTCCATATGCGAGGCTTGAAAGTGGCGAAAATATCATGCGGAAATGGCAAGAGTATCCTCCTAGATATAATGCCTGAATTGCCAAGAGTATTACTGAAAAGACGAAATTTCTAAGGTACTCTAATATTCAAGTGTTATTGAGATAATTCTCACTGTGTTTCATTTAAATAACACTATTGTCATAGCGTGCAGCGTCTCACAGCTGCAGAAGCGATCTCCTTTCATCCGCAGCTCATACGGTCGCTTTGATCCGAGCTTTAATGCTTCCAGTTTATACAAGCCCGGTGGTCTTTATTTATAGAGCTATTACAGCTATTTTATAGCACTGATGGCGCTCGCATGATCGTATTATCAAGCGTATAATCTTATTTATTGAGTAATTGGGCGTCTCGTCGCCTGTTGAAAAGCTTGGTAGTCACTGCATGTGTTACAGTTGTATGTAGCCTGTACATAAAATGTTGATAAAAATCAATTCGTCTTGTTTAATCGGAAATTTCCGGTCTAAATTTCAGTTTTTGAGCAAAATATATTTATTCTAGTGTAAATGTTCCGTCAACTCTGAGTTTTTCTATATCAATGAATTATTGAAATTATTAATGAGTTTTCTCTGAAATTTGTTGTGAATTTTGCTATTTTGTATTTTCAGTGAAGAGCTTCAGTATTTTTTTTCAATACCACATTCCTGAATTGAACCAGCGTGAAGTGAAACAAATAAAAATGTTGTTTTACATTAAATGTCAACGATAAGCATTATTAGTTCATGCAATGGGTATTAATTATTCATTCAAGGCGAGGATCAATCTTGTTTCGCAAATCACGTCGCGTGACGACAGTTGCGGAAGAAATATTCAAGTTTTGGGGGGATATTTCCCGACTCACCAATCACTAACTACCTTCAAAAATGTCCTCCATCCATCAAGCTCGTGTGTCATCTTGTGATTAGATTTTTTTGTTGGTATTGTGCAAGTTCGTACCGAAAAAAAATTCTAATTGGGAGGACAAGGCGAATCCTGCCTAACATGCAGGATTCTTTTTGTGGTCCAGTCTGTCATTAGGGATTCTGGCCGCGGTGGGTGAATAGGTAAAGAGTTTTTTGCAGCGACGTAAACGCGTTGTGTTCGAGACAGAAAAGCCGTCGAGTTGGGATAGCGGCAAGCTTTAATGGGCATATAATAGTTCTATGCGGGGTTATTCAGGTACTATCTTGTATGATTTATTAAAATTAGTAAAGATATCTTGCAAGGTATTTTTAAATATCATGTACGAGTACAAGAGAATGCCGTTATATGATCGTTCGCGCGATGAGATGGGAACGCTAAACTTTCAAAATGACCAAATAGCAATAATTGAACAAAAACACGAGGATACGTATTTGCATGCAATTTTGTTCTGCAACAAATTTCTAATGTTATGCGCGTTTCCTAAAATTTTAGCACTGCAGCCAAGCTGTCAAACTACAGGGTCATCAATATTTAGCGTTACAACTTTCAGTGGTTAGAACTATGAAATGAAACACAATTATGAATATTTGAAAATGTATTTATGTAGGCATAGTTCAGAGATATAATTCCCACAATTTCATTCAATATGTCCACCATCTGCATCAATAACGAGTTGTAGACGCTTAGAGAAAGCCTTACACGAGTCACGAATGACACTCTGCGGGATTTTGGCCCACTCCTTCAGCAGTTTGACCTCTAGGGCTTCCACACTCCTATGGTCCCTTAATCATATAGTTTGTTTTTCCACTGCTTAAGCTTCCTCCCCCCACCCGTACACTCAGAGTAGCGAGCGAAACTTTGTCCGCATTGCGATGCACTTACTACCCTTGTATGGATCATACAAGCCGAGTCTGGCCAGGCAAAAGAACGTGTCAGTGAAGAAAGTGTTTCTCTATTGGACAATAAGACTCATTCAATATACTAAAGAATGTAGAGGCTTCCTCTAACTCAGACTCAAAGAAATTCATTGAAATTCGCGTCGTCTCTCCAGCCGTCCTCGTGCCACGTAATTTCATGTCTGGTCTTTGGGTAATTGCCTGCGCTGCGTCCAGGAACTTGAAAAACTGCATCAAAGATACGGGAAAAAATATGCATCCCGCCTACACAAACTTATAAGGAATTCAAATGACCAACGTGATATAATTATTAAATTATTAGATAGTATTACTGAACGAGGAGTGAAATGCGTGGTGCCTAAGTAACTAAGAACATCGAACCTAAACAGAGTTGAAGGTACTTTGCAAATGTCGGCTAATTTAAACTAGAATATATTAGTTTATCAATATAAGAAGAGCATTCGGCCATGGAGGACATTAAATTGATAATCTACTTTAATATTTTAAAAGTGGGTAGAATACAGTGTTTGTATAGATCGAATTCAAATAAAGTCATTCTGTTAAAAATTTGAATAGGATTCAAGTACCAAAGCTTGGAAGTCAGGTAATCAGCGTTAACAACTTAAGATAAATATGAAATTGTAGATAGTTTCGTTTAAGGAATGAGAGAGCGACCAAAATTCATGCTCGGTGAGCTCAAGTTCATTAAAGTTTCAGAAAAAGAACTTGTGAGCATATAATTGAACTGAAATTGAAATATTATATTTTGGAATATGAATTTAATAGCATTCACATATTTTATAGGAAGTCATTTACGGAAGTATGATATAGATATAAATAAATAAAGACGCGAGAAATAATAAATATTAATACTATTTAAAAATAAACTTTGGCTTTAGTGGCTAAATTATTATTATTATTTTTTTTTTGAGATAAAATCCAGCTGAGCTCTAAATTTAAGCGAGGGTTTCCTGCAAAAAAGGCAGATTCTCTCCGCCCAAGATTGACTCCGGGCAAACTGACACAGGATCTTAGGATAGCGAATGTAATTTTAGATTTAGCAATGTCGTAATTTAGCTTCGGTTCAAACTAATTTATTCCGTTTTCCAATTCGTGGTTTTATGCAGATTAATTCTTTCTGAATTATTTTTTAGATTTAGCAAAGTTGTAATTTAGCTTCGGTTCAAACTAATTTATTCCGTTTTCCAATTCGTGGTTTTATGCAGATTAATTCTTTCTGAATTATTTTTTAGATTTAGCAAAGTTGTAATTTAGCTTCGGTTCAAACTAATTTATTCCGTTTTCCAATTCGTGGTTTCATGCAGATTAATTCTCTAAGAATTATTTTTTAAAAGAAATTATTGTATTGAACAAACTTCATAGCTTGCACTTGCTATTCAATGTACGCTCCTCTACAAAACATAGCTAATATTTATACATACCTTTGTTTGCAATTTTCAACGTAGGCCGCAACAACTTATTCAGAAGTCTGTGCAAACCTCTTCAGGTTTTCCCATCCCCACAATTTTTAAGAGAAATTGCTTGCCTAACTCGAGAATTTTTCTCCCGCCGAGTGTGAATTGAAATACCGCACTCGGCAGGTCAGGTGCGACTGAGCTCGTCTCCAGATCAAAGACAAGCGCTCGAGTCTCTGAAGTCAGCCAGACTTCTTTTATTGGCAGATCCGGCGCACCCGGACTTCTACCTCTACCTGTCCCAATTTCTACCTCTACCTGTCCCAATTTCTTCCTCTACCTGTCCCAATTTCTACCTCTACCTCAACCTGTCCCACTATGATTTTCGGGGAAAAAATTTAAATCCGTGTCCGAGAACAGGGTGATTTCAAAACACATTCATTCCTCAACTTCTTTGGTTTTCTGTCGTGCCTGAACTGTGTCAAGAAACAATTAGTCTTATTCAATCTTTATTCTTCACTTGCTTTGCCTCGCCATTTAGTCAGGATAGTAAATCACGAAAACTTTATAGACCTTTAATTTTAAATCATTCATTCAGAATTTTGAATTGCATGCAGGTGGAAGAACCAGTTTCCGGACGAGTGGTAGCCAACATCTCATCCGAGAGTCCGGATTTCATCATCCGGCCTCTGGACCCGGACCCTGACTACGCCTGTCTCTTATACACATCTAGATGTGTATAAGAGACAATTTTCCCCTGTAGTGGTATGAACTTGACGTGTAGACACGCTCTACACGTCAAGTGTGAGTCACGGGAGAAAATGTGCATTAGAAAAATATTATTTGTTAAATGTGGGAGCTTAATGAAATCTAACTCTGTGTTTTAAGAAGAGCTAAGACCATAAACCTGTGGCGGAATGGGCCGCAAGGTCGAGTGATAATACATTTTTTTAGCGCATTTTCTTATTTACGGAAAAAAATGCGCTATTGTGCTCGTCATGTCCGTTCGAATTTAAACCTATTTGATTGATATCAAAAGTTTTTACTCATTATTTGTTAACTTTATCACAACAGATCAATAAAAATCTGTTAATACCTACTAATTCTCAATATTCTACAAATTTAATATGTGCTAAATTACTCCGTAACTTTCGTTAAATTTAAAAAAACTCTTCTCCGACTGCAATATTACCGCTCGTCTTTACCTTAGTTACCCCACGCTGGCGGTGGCAGGAGACGCGGTTACATGTGAGCAGCGGGAACAACATAACCGTAGAATTTTGTCGAAACGTTCCTCAAATGCAAAACAAATTTCAAAAAATGCTCTCCGTCTATGATATTGCAATTCTCCCATCTTTACTTCAGTTGCCCCACGCTGTCGGTGGGAGCAGCTAATGTAAGCGTCGAGTGCGCAGTGGACGCTCACCCGCCCCCTACGCGCTTCTCCTGGAGCCTCAACACAAGTCAGGGCGTGACGATCCTCAAGCCTGACGCCGCGGTATGATGCAAAATGTAGAATGTTTAGCTGTGGTTTATTCATGTTCATTTTATATTTGTTTATGTACTTTGTCAGAGATTTATTCATATTCCTTTAATGCTTGTGCACTTAATTTGAAAATATTTATTTATGTTTCTTTCATGTTCGTTAATATCATAGTATTCATGTTCCTTTCATGTTTGTGTGCTTAATTTGCTAATGATTTATTTATGTTTTTTTCATGTTCGTTTATATAGTTTATCAGAGATTTATTCATGTTCCTCTCATGCTGGTGTGCTTAATTTGCTAATGATTTATTCTTGTTCGTTTCATTTTTGTTTGCTCAGTTTGCCAGTGATTTAGTCAGGTGTTATTCAAGCTTTTCTATTTATACAGGTTTTCATAGTTGTTTAAGTTTTATGAGAGACACAGTCGAAGTGCTCGTATGAATCTTGCAAGTGTTCTAAGAGTTATATGACAATTTATTTTAAATATTAATAGGAGCAAGAAACGGTTGGAACTTGCTTCGTGCGAGACCCAAAAGTACTAGTCTAAAAAATATTGGGCTAAATTTACTGATATGGGAACCCCGAAGTATTTGATAATGGAAACCAATAATAAAAGCTGAGAAAGCTGGATTTGTGGATGTGAAAAATGAGGATAAGCCATCGGTTATTGTGATAAACATTTCAGGAATTCGTTACAGTAAACTGGTAGTGAATTTCCGTTCGAAAGCAACGCCAGCAATTTACCCGGAAGTAAACGCAACCTTCGCTCAATTTTACCGCAAAAAATTACAACTGCGGAATTTAATTCAGCTTCCTTACATATGTGCTAGTAATTTGCCTCTAAATTGTTCAGCCAACAAGACCTAATTCTCAACAACACAGAAATGTTGGCATCTCTAGGAAGTATTCGGGTCGAACAAAGGCATTCAATATTGATAAGCTTCCTCGACGCTGCCAAGTCATGAGACGATAAAAGTCACAGATTTGTTGCCTCAGTGCATCGACTGGAATAAACCTTCATGAAAAATTCACTGTGATTCCAGCGCCTGAATCCCCACTACTAATTCTCAATATATCAGCTAAACCACGTAGCCCTTGCCAGAAAAAATCAATTGAGGCGAAGATTTGCTTCGGCTCGTAATAGGAAGCGTGATTTCATGAGTTAAAAATTGCTCAGTGTCATCGATTATAATGTAGGTAATTTTTGCCGACTTATCAATGCCGTTACATGCATTTCTTTAAAAAATCATCCGATATCATAAAATGATATGAATTAGGTACTTATATTATCAGTTGCCTTATATCGCAAGCTCACAAGAATTTTAAAAGCAAAGAAAACGCCGAGCAAATTCACCAAATCGATATTGAAAACGTTTTGGAACCCGTTTTCCTATCCTCCTGAACTAGTGAATCGCATACGGCTTTTATGTTTTAGTGTTTTTTCTTAAATTTTAACCTTTACGTGTCCCCTATGACACTGTGCTCCGCGGGTACTGGTTTTTGATTTAAGGTTGTTTTGTGTTTAGGTCTTTTTATGTTTTAATGTCTGAATTAGAATTTTGATTTATAAAATGATTGTATTCATTTTTTAGATTGTCTAATTGATGATGGAGCTGGACTCCGAAACGTTTTCAATATCGGTATGGTTAATTTGCTTGACGTTTTCTTTGCTTTCAGATATGAATAAAGTCTTGTATGATTTTTCTGTTCATTTACGTAAATTTTGGACTGCTTTCCATCAATTTCCACTTCAAATTTATGTAATTTATATTTTTTTCACTAATACCAACTTTGAATAAAATTCTTCCATGTTTTGCAGGCAGTTTTGGTGCTGTTATGGCGTTGGTAAAGTAAGCATAGAAGAAGAACAAGCAATTGAGGTTAAATATTTACGACCTCCACATGTTGCTGAGCGCAACTGTCAAGAAGATTGCTTTTATATACACGCCCATTATTACCGGCAGCTTAAACCAAACAAAGTAAATTATTCACACGCAGCAAACAGAACCTACTTCACTTTGAGGATTGTTTACAATCGATGCCTGAATATAAATATTTTATACTAGTAGTGACATTAGCCTGTAGCATTACATTATTCAATCAATAATACTCACCGTGCAGTTGAAAGAAGAATACCTAAATACAAATTCGAATAAAAGCTTGAGCCGTTCCAGCCTTCAGCCTTCAAATGTAATTGGCTTTTTGAAGAATGCATTTGATTAATGAATACAGTCCTGAATAATCACATGCTTAAACTCTGACGCTGGGAAACAAAAGACTCACGAAAACCTGTGAACCCTTAGTCCTTTAGGTCTACTTGCAAAACCAATATCCGTCTGCTCATAGAAGCAATGAAAGAATTTATGTCACTTTTTTGCTTAAATTGCAAATAAATAAGAATTTAAAAGCAAAGAATAGTCCCCAAAAATTTATATCTTTATAGAAAACGTTTCGGAGACTAGCTCCATCGTCAGTTCGTAGAATCTAGAGTCACAATCAAAAATCAATCACGATGGAGATGGCCTCCGAAACGTTTTCTTTTAAATTCTTAGCAATGAAAGAGTTCTCAAACGTATAATTTGTAGTAATATTACATGCAAAATCAACAATAAATCACATCACAATCATTTAGTACAATGAATATGACTCGTCAATATGACAATACAATATGACAATTCAGAAATAAAAGTAATCAGAACAATAACTAAAACTCATTCAAAGACTCTTACCTGAGGATGCTAAATGATGCTCGTGTATATAGAGCCGCGCATACTCAAGGGCATCGTTTATTAAGTAATTTTTCTGACTTGTCCTCTGACAATGTGTATTTTTAGCAGATAACTGGAAAAATTGCATTGAAAGGAAGTTTGAACTCAACCCGGCTTACTTTTTAATGAAACGTTCTGAACTGAAAGATCTTGCCTGATGTATTCATTAGGCAATTCTTGATCGCCTCCAGCTTAGTCGATGACAATCCTGCTCGAAACCAGCTGCTATACGGCCATCAAGTCTGATCCTGCAGCAACTTTGCTCTGTTGTTTAATTGGCGCTGAGCCTTGCACCAAATTTTAATTTGGATAAATAGAATATTTTTGCGGAGTTTCTAGCATATACCTTTCGATTGGAATAACATAGTTGCTAAATATATTTTATATCATTAATAATATTGTTGGAAATATTAATAGTTGGCTAGTGATGCCACCATTCTTTTGAATACCTAATTATAATCAATTTAATTTTATAGCATTCTTTACATTCCTCTACCTGACTTGATGATAACTCTCTTATTAATTAATGCCAATAAATTACGAATTCACAGTGCAGAACTTCATACAACCTCAATTCGACATTCGTAGGAGAGTTTAATTTTCTAATTTAATTGCTATCTTTGTACCCCATTTTCTCCTTTATGGAAAAAAATGCGCTATTGTGCTCGAAATGTCCATCCGTCCGTCTGTCTGTCCGTCCGCGACTTCACGTTTTCGTTGACGAGAAAATGCGGTCTCTGTCACTCACTGCAGTGAGTACTGAGTTATATCTTTTTATTTAACTTGTTGTTTTGTCCGTCTTTCCTATTTGTTTGAAGTATGTCTGAACTTGGTCTGAGATTCGTCCGAGAATTCATTGAGATTTTCTCCGAAATTTGTCCAAACAAAAGTGAACTCGGACTATGGAGCCAAATTGAAACCAAACGGAAGCCCGAGTGATGCCGGAGTACAGCAAGGTGTAGTAGTAAAAGTAGTAGTAGAAGTAGCAGGTATTCTAGCGCTTCATGAAGAACTTGATCTACCCATAAAAAGCAAAATGGAAGCCAAATAGGGAATACTAAATCAAATTCTGCGATGAAACGACGAATTTTTTCTGAAAGTAGCTTCAAACTAAATAAAATTCTATAAATGCGAACTAGATAATTAGAAAATTTAATGTAAATGTTTTGATCCAACATTCGTTTTCCGATGGCACATGATTTCACCGACCTTCTTAAATATTATCTTCACCAACTTTTTCTACTATTTTAAATATTTATATCATGTTTTATAACGTTTAATGTTCTCATAACATCACGAAACAACGGCATACTGGGCATACTGTATAGTATCTTCACTATATTGTGCATATAATATAAGATAGATAATGTAATTTTGAAAAATATAAATGATTAACATATACTCATAAAATTAAACAGAAATCATGAATTGATGACATGAACTGTAAAAATCCACATCGATCGTTATAAACATAAGTTTCATTTAATATCATTTCTTCGGCTTGCAACGATTGCTCTTTTATGATGCTCGCCAACTGACCATTTTAATGAAGTCTTCCATCAGGCAAGGCTCATAATTTAAGATTGTCACATTTTCGAGCTTTTAAACAAGCGTCTCGAAGGATTTTAAACAATCTTTTAAACAAGCGTCTTTAAACAAGCGTCTCGTGCACTTCATCGAAGATACTCTTCGACCTTCTTATTTCAGATGAGAATTTACCGTAAAAGTCAATGGTCGAATCCAGCTCTCTGCTCAAATACTGTTGGAAATTTTTTCCTGACGGATTGTTGAACTGAATGGTGAAACCTATACAGTAACTCGACGTCATTATCTTATCTACTCAATGCGGTGATAATTGACATACTATAATATATATAATATATAAGTGTGCCAGTTATGTTTGTCTGTTGCTTATTCTTAACTACCCGAGCACCCTACAGATTTCGATTATCACAACCAGTTTAATCTGTCACAACCAGTTGCGGTCTTGAAGCCCCAACTCATTGCTTCTTTCTTAGTGATCATGTCCTCTGAACCGTAACTACTGGGCCACCCTGCCGAGAATAGTAAGCGTGACACACACCTATTTGCTACTAATAGGTTTGATGTATAAGTGTGGCATTAATATTTAGTACATGAAGAACTTCTGTCATTTGTACGTGGTCCATCACTGGCCTTCACTAAAGGATGCTTAGGGTTATCAGATCGGAGCAGAGAGGCGCAGGTTCGATCCCAGCTCTGTGCGCCAGTTTCTGGTCAGAATCGGCAAGGAGGCCGGGCGGTTAAGCACAGCAGAATTGTAGCAGTGCGTTGCGAGTTCAAGACCGCAAAATGCTGTGAATGTTCTGCGAGGTTAAGAATCGGCGACAGGCCTACGGCCTGATAAACGCTGAAACCGCTATATATTAACATCAAGTGCAAGTGTCTTCCAGGTTCGTGCGTCAGGCGGCGTGTCGACCATCACGCGCACGACACCTTCAGACCTACTGCAGGAGGAGCTGTTGTGTTGGGCGTCCAACGAAATAGGCACGACGAGCAAACCTTGTGTCACGCAACTCGTCGCTGCTGGTGAGGGATAAGGGGTTTTTCTAATACATTTATGTCGTTTGACCGCTAAAATAACAAATTTAAAAAATTTCGTTGCCTGAATTTTTCACGAGCAAAAAGTTAAAAAACTATAACGGTACCTCATATTTTAACCTGATTATGCAGGTTGTTTCTGTTTCCGTTTTTATTAAAAATTTTTAATATTCTAAGCAAATTCTAAGAATTTTTTCATGAACTTATGATCCTTCTATGCAATTGATTCTGATTTTTAACGAATGTTTGCTGCAAGTTTACACGTTTTTTCTCACTATATTTTTGCAACACATTTATTTTACCATTTCCCCTGCATCATTATTTTTAAACATTTTCAAAGTGAGTTCGCTCAAGTCTTTTAGATAAAATTGTTTCACCCTATTCGTTGTGAGCGTTCATACGTTATTAATAACTTTTTATTCTCCGCGGCAGCGTTCGATGTTCCTTGTCAACCGATTATTTATGCAAAACATATGCTGAGGCATGAGCATGTATTGATGTTTAAAAATGCAGATTTAGTTTGCATGCATTTCTCGATTTCTCAGCTTATTTTTAATCTCTGGCCTTGAAAATTAGTTAATGAATTTTTATTACGTGTGTTTAATATTTTCACTCTACGTATGTTTTATGAATGCAATAAATATGTTCTAACAAATTACGTATCTGTTTTCGTTGAATTAGTTCCAAAAATACTATATCGCGAACAAATTTAACAATATCGCCAATGTTCCAAACTATGATAAGAAAGAACTCTTGTTACGAGAGTGGGTAATGATTTTAGATACAAATGTCGAAACCTGAAATTTGTTAATTTCGTGGAATAAATAACTGGAAAAAACCATGGGCGTATTAGGTATTGAAATTCTATATTTATATCCAATAAATTATTCAAGTGATCTTGTTAATCGATTTGATTATGGCACAACAAATTCTCTCTCTGTCTCATCTGAACTGAGCACTGCAGTTATGAATTCGCTTTTCGGCCTTGCTAAATGAATTTTTTAACAGATTGGGTATCTCCTTCATTTAATACACAGGTTTAGCAAAAACGTGGCATTGAAAGTGCTTCACATTCTGAAATAAACATTCCCCACAACTCATTGGTAACTGAGCCCAAACAAAGCAACTCAGCAGATGCTTTCAATTTAAATACATGGCAGCCTGGAGCTCTGGATGCGTCGAGCGTGAGATGGCATTCACGTTCCATGAAATGCTTCGATAATGCGCTGCTGCGTGAGATGGCATTCGCGTTCCATGAAATGCTTCGATAATGTGCTGCTGCGTGAGATGGCATTCGCGTTCCATGAAATGCTTCGATAATGCGCGGCTGCGTGAGATCTGATCGACTTTCCTTGCGTGCTCACTTGAACATTTCCAAATTAAATGAATAATTCGTGATTGTGGTCTCGTTATAGATTAAAACATTGAGGTACTTGTGAAGTTTACATGCATTGTGTTAATGGATGCACTACATAGCTTCATTCATTGTTTTCTTTACATTGATATTCGTTTGATCTAATGTTGTACCGTATCTAAATTGTTGTTAAAAAATGATTAATATCGATAATAAATATGTCCTTCGATTGCTTCTCGTTGTGAATTTGGGTAAAAAAACATCTAATAAGTAAGAAATTCGGTAATTTGGAAGCCATTGCGACTGCCATATTCTTACTAATGAAACATACATACATACTAATGATATGTTTTGTTGAATGAAAACAAACTACTAAATAAAAATTTACCAATAAAACCAAACATGCAGAGAAATAATTTTGTTACTTAAAATTCTTGCTAATTATTTATGCCGAAGAAGCATGAGTTTAAAATGACCAAATGAGAGATTTTCAAACAATTGACGAAGTTTTTAGATAGAAATTTATTAATGGATGCTGTTTGCATTGAATTTCCTACTAACAAATTTCAGAAATATTCGATTACATTCTGAAATATTTGGAAACACTTTACATTTGGATAATATAATTCTGGAAACATTAAATTATTCAGCTAGACGCAATTAAATTTTTGCTGATGCTCTGTTGAAAATTTTCAGTCATAAATTGTTGGCAAATTCTAAAATTGAGTGAGCATGCAAATGGCATGGGAGTTCTTCCATAAATGTTTTCTGTTCCATCGAGCAAACGCTATCGTTTTGTACAGCATTTTACGCTTAATTCGCCAAGTAAACAAACGTCAAAATTCCGCATGGGAGATGCGGTGTTTTCGGAATGCTGCGATGGAGTCAGCTTCTATTAGATGAAAAAAGGGTGCTCTTTTATGTATTATTTAAAAGATTGTTATGTGATTTAGCAGGAAAAATTAGGAACTAACTGAAAATAATCTGAGAAATTCAACATGATAATTTTATTTAGTTATATATTGATGTCACATGGACATTTTGTTCCGGAATTTTTAAATTATTATTTTCGTTGCGGAATTTCATCGGAAAATAGAACTGAAATATTAAATGAATTATTTATCGGAAATTAAGCATTATTTGAGAAAATTATTCAAATCTATTCAAATTTACTGATGTTAACTAGGAAAAAACATCAAATGAATCATTCTCTGTCTACTGATTGAAAATGTGTGGGGTTCTATCCTTCTGATAATCCGATCACTCTGCATTTTTTTCTACCGAAGAATCTGGTCTCCGTTTACGCTCAGTACCTTGGGACTAAAGAAATAACCCCAGCGTAAATAAATGAAATTTCGCTATTATTCGTCGGTAGAAAAGACTCTCAACAACTTGATATTTCAGAAGAAAAAAATCCTGGAACGCAAGATTTATCCCTAGTAAATTTCAACCGAGTTTGCCTTCTTTATTTTTTCATTATTTGGAAATGAAGTATCTCAAAATGCCATTTGAAACCAGGTAAACGTAAATTTTCTACCGTTTAAATAGATTTTCCGAAAACTTACGTTAACAAATTCATGTTATTTTTCTTGGTATGAAAATTTTCAGTGTAAGACAAAATTTTCATTTTTTATTCAGCAGTATTATTATTAAGTATTCTCCATATGCGAAGCTTGAAAGTGGCGAATCTTTCATACGAAAATGACAAGAGTATCATCCTAGATATAATGCCTGAATTGCCAAGAGTATTACTGAAAAGACGAAATTTCTAAGGTACTCTAAAATTCAAGTGTTACTGAGATAATTCTCACTGTGTTTCATTTAAATAAGACTATTGTCATCTCGTGCAGCGTCTCACAGCTGAAGAAGCGACCTCCTTTCATCCGCAGCTCATACGGTCGCTTTGATCCGAGCTTTAATGCTTCCAGTTTATACAAGCCCGGTGGTGTTTATTTATAGAGCTATATTACAGCTATTTTATAGCACTGATGGCGCTCGCATGCTCGTATTATCAAGCGTATAATCTTATTTATTGAGTAATTGGGCGTCTCGTAGCCTGTTGAAAAGCTTGGTAGTCACTGCATGTGTTAAAGTTGTAAGCAGTCTGTACATAAAATGTTGTTAAAAATCAATTTGTCTTGCTTAATCTGAAAATTTCGATTTAAATTTCAGTTTTTAAGCAGAATACATTTATTCTAGTGTAAATGTTCCGTCAACATTGAGTTTTTCTATGTCAATGAATTAAAGAAAGAGTTAATGAGTTTTCTCTGAAAATTGTTGTGAACTTTGCTATTTTGTATTTTCCAATACCACATTCCTGAATTGAACCAGCGTGAAGTGAAACAAATAAAAATGTACTTTTACATTAAATGTCAACGATAAGCATTACTAGTTCATGCAATGGATATGAATTATTCATTCTAGGCGAGGATTAATCTTGTTTCACAAATAACGTCGCGTGACGACAGTTGCGGAAGAAATGTTCAAGTTTTTGGGGTGATATTTCCCGACTCCCCAATCACTAAGTACCTTCAAAAACGTCCTCCATCCACCAAGCTCGTGTGTTATCTTGTGATTAAGATTTTTTGTTGTTATTGTGCAAGTTCGTACCGAAAAAAAGTTCTAATTAGGAGGACAAGGCGAATCCTGCCTAACATGCAGGATTCTTTTTATGGTCCAGTCTGTCATTAGGGATTCTGGCCGCGGTGGGTGAATAGGTAAAGAGTTTTTTGTAGCGACGTAAACTCGCTGTGTTCAAGACATAAAAGCCGTCGAGTTGCGGGGATAGCGGCAAGCTTTAATTGGCATATAATAGTTCTATGCGGGGTTATTCAGCTACTATTTTGTAAGATTTAGTGTAATATGAAAAGTTATCTTGCAAGGTATTTTTAAATATCATGTACAAGTACACGAGAATGCCGTTATATGATTGTTTGTGCGATGGGATGGGAACGCTAAAGTTTCAAAATGACCAAATAGCAATAATTGAACAAAAACAAGAGGATACGTATTTTCATGCAATTTTGTTCTGCAACAAATTTCTAATGTTATGCGCGTTTCCTAAAATTTTAGCACTGCAGCCAAGCTGTCAAAGTACAGGGTCATCAATATTTAGCGTTACAACTTTGAGTGGTTAGAACTATGAAATGAAACACAATTATGAATGTTTGAAAATGTATTTATGTAGGCAGAGGTTCAGAGATACAATTCCCACAATTTCATTCAATATGTCCACCATCTGCATCAATAACGAGTTGTAGACGCTTAGAGAAAGCCTTACACGAGTCACGAATGACACTCTGCGGGATTTTGGCCCACTCCTTCAGCAGTTTGACCTATAGGGCTTCCACACTCCTATGGTGAACGGTCGAGACCTTGCTCTCAAGGTATGACCAGATCCCAAAATCCAGAGGATTCAGATCGGGTGACGATGGGGGCCATTCATCTGTGGTAATGAAGTGGGGAATATTCTCGGACAGCCACTCCTGAGTCGATTTGGCCCCATGGGATGGTGCAGAGTCCTGCTGGAACGACCAGGAGCGTTTTATGAAGTGCTTTCGTGCCCAGGGCAACAATGCACCAATAAGGATGGCATCTCGATAGTTCTTCTGATTCAATTTTGCCCCTTTGTCAACAATAAAGAGGGGACTCGTTGAGGACGCTGTTACGGCTACCCAGACCATCACTGAGGTCGGGCATTGCTTCCTAGTCACCACACGGGATCCTTCGTCTCCATTCTTCGACCAAATTCGATCATTTTGGGAGTTGAAGTGGTGTTCAACATTGAACATCTTCTCATCACTGAAAACGAGGTTTGGCAGCGTGCCATCATGAATGCGGGAAAGAAGAATCTTGGATCTTTGGAGGCGTTTGTCAACAACTTGAGCAGACAGTTGGTGTTTTTTGACATGCTTGAATGGGGACAACTTTAGGTCCTTCCGGAGAACAGTCGACATGGTTCCATACGACACATTTGACTGTTTTGCGAGTGTATTGATTTTGAAAAAAACGATGTAATGCTAAATATTGATGACCCTGTATTAACTGTACACCCAACACAGTATGTCGGTGATTCGAAGCGAGAAGAAATTTTGTCGCGTGGAGAAGTTGCAGCGCCATTTTTTTAGTTTATAGCCGTGGCCCCTGGTGTTGGTTCTTGTTTCAAATTCTAGTAATCCTTCGGGGACCTTGTATAAACCATGAGTATACGTGTATACTTCAATGAGGTCCCCACGCAGACGTCGATAACTGAGGCTTGGAAGCTTCATAATCTTCAATCTTTCTTCATAGGACTTGTCCTTCAAGCCTGGAATTATCCTAGCTTGTTGCACGTCTTTGAACATTCTCTATTAAATTTCTGTCCTTTTCAAATCTCGGTGACCACACAACGTTTCCAAACTCTAGATTCGGGCGCACGACAGCAACAAACAACTGCTTCATCGCTTCTTCATCTAGGAACTCGTATGAGCGTCTGATTAGTCCAAGAAGTTTGTTGGATGTGTTAGCTTGCGTTTCAACATGCTTAGAAAATTTCAGCTCCTTGTCAACATAAACTCCGAGATCTTTTTCCACACTAGACTTTTCAATCATTACTCTCTCTCGTTGCAACCATGTCTTCTCATATTGTAATCTTGCTGTTCATTGTTCTTTCCGAGGTGAAGTACTTAACACTTGTCAGCATTAAACCGCAGCTGCCACGTATCAGTCCAGTTAACTAAACTGTCAAGATCATCTTGTAATTGCGCTTTATTTGACGCATCCTTTACTGTATTATAAACTTTTGTGTCGTCGGCATACATGGAGCACACGCTGGACACTACTTCTGGCAGATCGTTTATAAAAGCAACGAAAAAAATAGGCCCAAGAACGCTTCTTTGTGGCACGCCACTGCGCACTGATGCTCAGTCTGACACGGTTCCGCTAATGTTCACGTTGTCGTCTACCTAATAGAAAGTCTTTGATCTATTGGAATACGTATCTATTGGAATACGTTTCCCTCAATGGGAAACGTATGGCAGAGACGTTTTATGGCAGGGTGGCCCAGTGGTTACAGTTCAGAGTATCAAGATTGGCGCAGAGAGGCGCGGGTTCGATCCCAGCTCTGTGCGTCAGTTTCTGGTCAGAATCGGCAAGGAGGCCGGGCGGTTAAGCACAGCAGAATTGAATCAGTGAGTTGTGAGTTCGAGACCGCAACAAGCTGTGGATGTTCTGCGATGATAAGAATCGGCGACAGGCCTATGGCCTAACAAACGCCGAAGCCGCTATTATTATTATATTATTATAATTCCCAAAGACTTCACTTTACGCAACAGCCGCTCATGCGGAACACTGTCAAATGCTTTGGCAATACATCTGCGTTGCCGTACCCCAGTGTTGCCATATTGCAGTGTTGCCATACACCAGTGTTACCAAACATCAGTGTTGCCATACTGTCACCAGGCGAGCCTGGGAGCGTGGAGCGCTGCAGTGTGCACAACCGCACGCCGTCGAGCCTCCACGTGACCTGCCGGCCCGCCACCTCCAGCGCCGGCAGATACTACATGGCGGTGGTGAGTGCCGTGGTAAGTGTGGCGGTGGTGAGTGTGGCGGTGGTGTGGTGGCGGTGGTGTGGTGGCGGTGGAGAGTGTGGCAGTGCTTCCCTTAATCATATAGTTTGTTTTCCCACTGGATAAGCTTCCTCCCCCACCCATACACTCAGAGTAGCGAGTTAAGACTTTGTCCACATTGCGATGCACTTACTACCTCTATATGGATCATACAAGCCTAGTCTAGCCAGGCAAAAGAACGTGTCAGAGATGAAAGTGTTTCTCTATTGGACAATGAGAGCCATTCAATATACTGAAGAATGTAGAGGCTTCCTCTAACTCAGGTACGAAGAAATTCATTGAAATTCGCGTCGTCTCTCCAGCCGTCCTCGTGCCACGTAATTTCCTATTTGGTCTTTGGGTAATTGCCTGCGCTGCGTCCAGGAACTTGAAAAGCTGCATCCAAGATACGGGAAAAACTTGCATCCGCCTACACAAACTTATAAGAAATTCAATTGACTAACGTCAATATATTAGATATATATAATGTAATTTGATAATTATTATATTATTAGATAGTATCACTGAACGAGGCGTGAAATACGTGGTGCCTAGGTAACTAATAACATCGAACCTAAACAGAGTTGAAGGTACTTTGCAAATGTCGGCTAATTTAAACTATTAGTATATCAATTTAAGAAGAGCATTCAGCCATCGAGGACAATAAATTGATAATCTACTTTAATATTTTAAAAGTGGGTAGAATACAGTGTTTGTATATATAGAATTCAAATAAAGTCATTCAGTTAAAATTTGAATAGGATTCAAGTACCAAAGCTCGGGTGTCAAGTAGTCAGCGTTAACTTAAAACTTAACATAAATATGAAATTGTAGACGGTTTTGTGTTAAGGAATGTAGGAGCAATCAAAATTCTTGCTAGGTGAGCTCAAGTTCATTGAAGTTTCAGAAAAAGAACTTGTGAGCAAATAATTGAACTGAAATTGAAATATTATATTTTGGGATATGAATTTAATAACTTTCACAGATTTTATAGGAAGTCAATTACGGGAGTTTGATATATATATAAATAAATATATACAGATAAATATATAAAAACACAATAAATAATAAAACTATTTATAAATAAGCTTTGGGTTTAGTGGCTAAACTATTTCTTTGAGATAAAATCCAGCTGAGCTCTAAATTTAAGCGAGGGTTTCGAGCACAAAAAAGCAGATGCTCTCCGCTCAAGATTGACTCCAGGCAAATTGACACAGGATCTTAGGATCGCGAATGGAATTTTAAATTAGCAATGTTGCAATTTAACTTCTGTTCAAACTAATTTATTCCCTTTTCCAATTCGTGGTTTTATGTTGATTAATTCTCTATGAATTATTTTTTAAAGGAATTATTGTATTAAACAAACTTCATAGCTTGCAGTTGCTATGCAATGTACGCTCCTCCACAAAACATGGCTCTATTTATACATATACCTTTGAAGGCAATTTTCAACATAGGCCTCAACCACTTTTTCGGAAGTCTGTGGAAGCCTCTCTAGGTTTTCTCATCCCCACATTCTAAGACAAATTTCTTGCCTAACTCGACAATTTTTCTTCCACCGAGTGTGAATTGAAATACCGCAGCACTCGGCAGGTCAGGTACGACTGAGCTCGTCTCCAGATCAAAGACAAGCGCTCGAGTCTCTGAAGTCAGCCAGACTTCTTTTAGTGGCAGATCCGGTAAACCCGGACTTCTACCTTTCACACTGTCCCAATTTCGGGACTTCACGTGGCCTTACCAGACTATAATTTTCCGGGAAAAAATCTTTAAGCCTTGTCCGAGAACAGGGTGATTTCATTCATTTTAAAACACATTTATTCCTCAACTTCTTTGATTCTCTGTCGTGCCTGAACTGTGTCAAGCGGCAATTAGTCTTATTCAATTTTTATCCTTTACATGCTTTGCCTCGCTATTTAATCAGGACAGTAAATCGTGAAAACTTTATAGACCTTCAATTTTAAGTTATTCATTGAGAATTTTTAATTACATGCAGGTGGAGGAACCAGTTTCCGGACGAGTGGTAGCCAACATCTCATCCGAGAGTCCGGATTTCATCATCCGGCCTCTGGACCCGGACCCTGACTACGCCGTGCGCGTGTTCTCCGTGAACGTCAGGGGCAGGTCGCTGCCGTACCTCCTCGAGAGCTTCTCGCTCAAAGTCGCCGAAAATCGGATGGGTATATGGGGGACATTTATCGTTTTAATTATTTATTATTATTATTGTCATTATTGTATTATTATTGTTATTATTATTATTATTATTTTTATTATTATTCTTATTATTTTTATTATTATTATTATTATTGTTATTATTATTATCATCATTATTTTTTATTATTACCATTATTATTATAATACAATCAATACATTCATAAATGTTCAACTTCATCTATATTATTGTATAACCATTCGTTATTTTCACTCGTTAAGTTCCTTATCCGTTTTGTTGTAGTACTTCAGCAAATGCTTTATTCTTTAACTGTAGCTTGGAATAGAACAAGCGAGTCCTGATTGTAATATAGATTCTCGTCATTTTTTGTAAATAAAACTAAATGTATTATGGCAGTTGATAGTTTGCAAGAATATTAGCGAATAGGGCTAACTGTGAAGCTAAATTTATTCCTCAATAATATTTATGTGTTCTAAAGAGTATTGACGATATCTTGGCATTTACGTGATACTAATTTTGCAAAGCCAATACAAGAATTGAAAAGAAGTTCGTAGTTAATTTTCTCTTATAAATCAAGATCACAAGAGTTTAAGCAGCCGTTATGAAATTGTTTTTTTTAAAACATTGGGAACCATACGTCGCTCGATTTTAAAAATAAAATTAGGACATATGACTATAATAACTATATTTCAGACGCATATATCCATCTCTACCTTTCATAATCGTACCAGGCACGGAATATCTCAAAGTAACTCACCAAACTTAACAATGGAGACTTATACAAATTATTAGTTTATCTTCTATGATATGCCTGAAATTTGCGCGACTGAGTTCGCTTCAAAATTTAAAAGACGCATTATTATAGCCTAGTCTTGTATGAACAGTTCCAATAACAACGGAGAATTTTTAACTCTTATTTCGAATTTTCCTGCCCATGATGAATCTAACGCTTACGATATATGTATATCAATTTTCTCAATCGTCATTGTAATTATTTATGGAGTTTGAATAATGCATGAATGTGTTTTATGTGTGTCTAGATTAGTTCACTCTAAAACAAAAGCAACCCTCGAATAACTCTTGATCGGATTGTTCGCTACAAATTCCAATTTTGACCAGGTTTTTAATTAAAAGATTTAAGACGTCGGTATCAAAACTATATAAGTGTTCGTTTCGTTCTTGTTTTACTGATGCAGTTTTTCTTGCTTAATGACAATGCCAAGAATTAAGAGGCGTGTAATGTATGAAATTAGATCTCTGGCTATCTATCATGTACCGCTATTTTCAAACGTTTCCATGGAGACATTTTTTTAACCATCCCAGCGACTTTCTAACATCTTTGATTTTAAAATGCACCTATTAAAACGTCTTGAATCTCTGAACCAATAGTTAACTCAATTATACTATCTCTATATTCGATATTCTGTAATCGCAGGTCTTAATTTACTCCGGAATCAGAATTTTATGATTGATGACGTTTGCCTTCGATTCGTCAGTCAGCTAAGAAACGAATTCCAATGAACAATAATTTGTAAACTTTCTGGTATTCTTTTTTTAGTTTGTTTCAGGATACTTTCATAAAAATTCCCTCAACCTGGAACTTAATTTAAATTTACGTTGAATATAGCACTATTTCGCAAACACCAGATGTAAATTTGTTTTTATTTTATAGGTAATTTTTTTTAGTATCATCCAACTTTGGCGAAAAAGAATTAACTAATTTTTTGCATTTTTTAGATTTAAGACCTCAAAAATTCAGTAAAATAGCAACAACAGAATGAATTCGATCGCTCTATAATTTCTTCCAGCCGCTCATGTTATTTACGCTGATTTATTCTCCACCGTTTTTTTCTATACTGCTAAACTAAGACCTTATTTTTATTTCTGAAATTTTCTGGATTAATTACACGATTAGTATACCTTATTAGTTTGAGCGGATCAAGTTAATTCCAATGAGTTTGTTTGCATTTTCGGGGAGTTGTTCTCGACGAGACCGACTAATATGTTAGCTATTCCCAGCTAGTCTCCGGATTTAATTTCTCTAACTGACAGCCTTGTTAGTGAGTAAATGCCCCGTGGGAATCAAGAATTATCCAGTCAAGACATGCCTCGTGTGTTTTAAGTAAGGAGGAAATTAATAATGATGGAAATTTTTAGAAATATCATAATAACACCGCGGATTTATTCCTTGAAAATGAACCAAGTAAAATTATTATACCAAGCTTAAAATTATTTGATCTTCCATTATGTATGTATGATCATCGGTTTTCAAAAGCAATAACTTCAAAATGAAACCGTTTTTGCGGGAAATACGTTTTACGCATCGCTTTAATTCATTTTTGCCATTCATTAAATAATAAACTAAAAATGTATTTAATTGAAATTTTTTATTTCGCCGCTTATTTCATACTTTAACTTTTTTACAGGCCTTGTTAACTTTTAACAGTTTTTATAATTTTGAAACTGTGTGCAAATATTATTTTTCAGAAGGCCTCGCCTTTCCTCCTTTCAAAAGCACCGGGGTTAATTCTAAGTGCGAATAGATTTCGTATTTTTATCATGGAGTGATTTACGAGGATAATTATTCATATTATATTCCAGCTTTACAATCAATCGAGAACCAAGTCTCCAAGCTTAACATAGCACTGAGCGATTTCTCATTATCCATTGAACGAACACGGCTGAAAATATTGAATTTTTGTTATGCCTTATAAACTTTTTGGAAAGTCAAGATTTATCTTATTTTTCATCATGACAAAGCATTCAAATTTTCATATACAAACTCAATTTAATGATTATTTCAACAAGCTTAAGTAAGTTAAGAGGAAAAAGTTCATGATAAAACTGTTCCACATGTAAAGTTTCGGGTAAAACTGAGCCTGCGGCTAACAATCTTTTGATAAAGATCTTTGATGGTCCAAGGCAACTGGTAGTGATAAGAAATATTTGGATAGATTATGAGTTTTGAAACCGACAATAATGTTGTTTTATTACACTTAATTCTCTATTTTTAACGGAGATGGTTACCCAGCTTATTCAGGTTTGATGTCTCTGATTGTTTCGAAATTCGAGAGAAAACATTCGTGTTATTTTTTCGTTTTCATGCCTGCGCAACACGATGAAAAGTTTAAGCAAACTTCAACAAACTTTAAGATTGAATGAAATTCAGAGCATGCAATATATCATGGCTGTTTTAAATATTTTAAGTAACTTAACTGAGCGAATTCAAATTTAGATATTCAACTCACTGTTAAACCAGCAGCTTAGCTTACAAGATTTTCTTTCGAGTAATTCTCTCGCCACTTTTTACTAACCTAACAAATATCGCCTGCTACAATGGCGCTTTGTTTACTTTTTTTAATTAAACTTAATCCAACTCCCTTTCCGTCAATCGATCCTTTATTCCAAAACTTCATCACTTCATTTCATTTGGCTGAATAATAAATAATCATACAAAATTTTACAGTTCACATTAAAAAAAATTCGTAGCACGATCAAACGAATGCAAACACAATCTTACTGAAATATCTTTCGCTGTTTAATTATACGCTTTGGTACAATTAAATATTTTTCCTTTGATTCAGATGCTGACACAGCGCCTTCAGGAACAGCATCGCCTCTGCTGGCAGGGATCATCGGGAGTGTCGGCGTACTGCTGGCACTGCTGACCACTTCACTGCTGGCAGCTACACTGAGACGGTACAGAGCTCGCAGGCTGACAGCAGGGCGCGCTGTCAGTCTACCGTCTGACTGTGCAGATAAGGAGACAGCTGACGGCATCTCTGTCAACGGCGATACCACCCCGGGTAAGTGTGACGAATTGAGGGGGGTCTAATGTGTTCAATTGTACATTAGTTTCTGTTCTGCAAATCTCTTTACTACTTTAACTGTAGCCGCAGTTCATTAACTATGAAGGTTAAACGTTGATATTACAACTTGATTTTGGCAACATCTGCTGGAATAGCAGATTACGAACTCGGATCTCCTGAACGACCACATTGCACGCGTCTGTGACAAGTGTCGGAGGTGCAATAGCTTTACTTGTCGTAGTTGCCATGTTGCAATTACCTGTTCAGTATTTTTAGCAAATTATATATATTAGCCCTACGTTCACTTTTTTCATTGTTTATTTCATTGATAACCTGATATTTATTTGTCATAACCTTGCCAGTGTTTCTAAAATGTATTCGTTTTTCTATGTTTTGTGCTCATTGCAACTAATTTGTTCCTTCTAATAAAGCAACGAAGCAAACCTAGGACACATTTATTGAACCTCCTCTTTAGCTTAGAGATCAGCACGCTACAAGGGCAAACTAATGCTGAAGAGTTCTAAGCGTAGCAGCTTTTGAAGAAGCCGTTACAATTGCGTTATTTAAATGCGTTACCGGGCGCGGATCTTCAATTTGGTATAGGCGATTAAAATATTCCATGTTTTGTTGCAAATGAGCCTCCAGAGACTCTCAAGCCGGGCGCTGTTCATTAATTAAATGATATCGTGCATTTATAATTTCAAGAATCATCGAGCGGAGGAAAGAAAATGAAATGAACTAAAATTAGGTTACCGGCAACATTCAATATAGGATATTTAAACTTTCGTTACAACATTAATTGACAATGATCCAATAATGTACATATATTCTAATTATATTTATGCTTAACAATCTATTCCCGTGAAAGAGCTCTCAGAGCAAAAATAATATTTACGTGGCAGCTGAATTTGTAACATCAAAAAAGTTTCTAATACTCGAAGTATCTCAAGTAATAAAATAAGCTTTGTACGATTTACGGACTGATTCAAAACTCTCGAGTCCTCTCACGTCGAACATTTGATTTACTCTCTATCTCACAGCTTTCAATAACATCTTGTCAGAATTTTGCTAGGTACCTTCAAGACTAAAATCAATTGAAATTTATTATTATTGCATTCATGTCTATGTGTATAATTGTGAAATACGCTGAAAATGGATATAATACGTGTTTTTAGCGCATTTTCTCATTTATGGAAAAAATGCACTATTGTGCTCGCAATCTCCGTCCGTCCGTCCGTCCGTGACTTCACGTTTTGGTCAACGAGAAAATGCGCTCTCTGTCACTCACTGCAGTGAGTACTGAGTTATATTTTTTCTTTGACCAGGCGAGTATTCATCAGGCTCGCTGGCGGGAGGAAGTCACCTGCTCTTGCCTGTGCAAGGCAAAGGCGACCGGAGAAGCTCGAGTTCTGGAGGCATGCAAGGTGTGCTATTCTTTGATGTGCTCAATTGAAGCCTTTGTACTCAAACCATAAGTATATGTATTTTTCTTGTTATTTTTATGTTATTGATTATATATGATTTTCATTGACTCGGAACTTGTAATTTTTTATCTTTTTCATGTCATGGAGTTTGTCACTGAGTTAGTAAAAGACTTTTATACAAGCTGTGCGAGCTATTGAAGGTGTCATTCTTTGTTGTTATGCTGGCTTGAGGTGATATACCGAACAGTTCATTCGTAGGATTTTTAACCTTTTCTGGTCCAATGAATGTATTCAAAAATAATATGTACACTTGTTTACTGATACAAGGTCTATTACATGGATATTTTTGTATGCTTGCGCTAAAAAATAGCGTCGGTTACTCTTTTTCTGTAATTGTTCATACATTTATCCAGATTATTATTTCTTGGAAGCGAAACTCTAACGTAATTGCAGCAAAAATTTAGTGAATTAAATCATCTAGTGACTCTTAAGAAAAATATCTAAACTTTTTCCGAAGCCTTTTCCTTTGACTGCCTAAAACAATAATACTAGCTCAAAATGCAAACGTTCTAGTTATCATTTAGCTGAATCTTCTTAAATTAGGGTGCTTATAGTTTTTAAAAATGTTCCATGATTTTTCCAGTTTAAACTAAATAAGTATTAAATTTATTAAATTTTTATTGAATATTTTTCTAAGTTCGTTGGTGAATCAGTCTAGAAGCACTTTTGGATTTTTTTGGATTTTCAACAGAGAAATGCAAAGACATAAAAATATAACTCAGTACTCACTGCAGTGAGTGACAGAGAGCGCATTTTCTCGTCGTCGAAAACGTGAAGTCACGGACGGACAGACAGACGGACAGACGGACGGACGGACAGACGGACATGGCGAGCACAATGGTGCATTTTTTCATTAATGACAAAATGCGCTAAAAATATATTCTTAAGATGGGATATAAATTCTTTAGCGAATAAAAACTAAATTTTATTTTAAAAAATTTATTGGAGGTTCTCCATTGTCAGTAAAGTGATTATAAAATGTTATTTCATCTTATTATTACGTACATAACCAATGAACTTAAATCATCGTTGCATTACGGCAGCTCTATCGTAATATTAATTGAGAGAGCTTTCACTTTCCTTATTTTATTAATTACAGCCAGGCGAGTATTTAATTAAAAGGTAATGGTCGTTCCTTCAAAATAGCGCCTGATGGACGTCAATTTTGCAGACAACAACCCTGGATTGTTTTGACTCCGAGACTTCAAATCCCCGTCAGAACAATCGCGCCCAAATTCTCCGAGATAAAAGCTGCTTCTTCTGAAGTGTTTTCAAATTAGAGCCAAAATCTAGACTGACTTGACATACATTTGTACATGGGCGGATCGATAGCTCGGACAAAGATACTAAATAACAAAATATGACTTCTTTTAATAGCCCGGCTCGCGACGGATGGTTTCTAAACTGATATATTCATCGTGGCAAATGCCCGAGAATTGTTATCGCCATTGAATTTAAGGTCGAATACTTTATTTGTTGAACCATGCTGAAAAATGCAAGCCAACTTTGATCGACGGAGAAAAATACTAAATCCGAAAATAAGTAGTTTTTACTACTTATAAATAAATATACTACTACCAATTTTACTTGAACAATAATGGTCCATTCATACCACATTCAAAAGTGTCAGCAAGTCCATTCATAACACATGCAATTTATCAGATCCCTTGTCGATTTCTAGCTTTGACTAATATTGACTAAAACTGACGGGCGTTTGGTAAAACTTTAATTCATGTAAAAGAGATTATTGTATATTATCTGCACCAAGCTTTTACCGAAACAAATACTCATTTTTTTTTTGTTTTATACAAAATCCAACAATAAAATCTTTAACATGGTACGCTGCTAAAAGGCCTCAACGTTGTTGTTTGTGCAAGAATGTTTTATCCTGCCCCTTGCTTCCCCTGCAGCTTATATAGTGTCCCTCGCTCACCCCAAGTCTGTTTATCCCAACTTCTCTGCTTCTTTTCCCCCCACAATTGCCTTGACTCAGGCAACAGTTTTAGGTCATAGCTCCTTCTTCTTTTATCCCCCACAATTGCCTTGACTCAGGCAACAGTTTTAGGTCATATAGCTCCTTCTTTTTTATGTTTTTCGAGCAGATTTTTGTCGGGAGTTTGCCCACTTAGAGTCCAGCGCTGCAGAGACTCCTACACCTGCTGTCGTCCAGGTGAGGACATTTTTATTTATTTTGATTTTTCAGTACAATTTCTTCTAATTTATTTGTAAATTAATTTAGTATAGAATGCATTCCTAGCGGTTCAAAGTAGTAATTTATCGTAGAACTAGATGAGATTCTTACACGCACTATCTGTTTCCTAATTAATCAATTTTTTATTTCTTTTTTGTTTTAATTTTTTAGATGAGCTCTACCCCCAAAATCCTATCTATCTCAATCCCTGTACCTATATGGCACAAGCTTATAGTCCCTAACTAACTTATTGCAACGCACTTATCCTACACCGCAATCTTACGTAACTGCAGTGTCACGCTGACTGACTTTATAGATACGAGCAGATTATAAGATATGTGTAGGAACTTTCTGGTCATGTGGAATTTACTAATTTAACACCAAATATTTTAAGATAAACTTCTGCATGAAAAGAGTGTAAAAAATAAACATGAATAACTTGAAGATAGTAGATCATTTCATTTCAATTTGATCAAAAACTTTCACAGCCGGAACATAGAGTGAAAAAACGAAAATTTACAACCCAAAGGAAATTCATAAAAATATTTATTAGCATCAAGCAACGTAGTACTAGACAATGATTCTTGGCGACGCATTATATTAGTCTGTGATAATGATCTACAGTCCTTTATTATATTAATATATTAACCAGTTCCCCTTTACTCAGAGCTGTCAGATATTCGTCCCTCGTAGGAATTTCCGCCCATTTCTTAAATGAATCCCAAGTCGCTCTTGACTCACAAGGCACGCGTCGTCTTGACTCATCGACAGTTTTGTGTGTAAAATTAGCGCATCATCTTCATATGTAAATCTTTAATATTGGTATTTAGGTCTTCTTTTTTGCTTTATTTGTACTTCTATTTAGAATTAGTTTTCAATATTTGGTTGTGCTACTAGTATATAATACTAGTATTTATAATTATTATTTAGTATTAGGATATGGTATTAGAATTTATTATTAATATTTATTATTGGTATTGAGTATTAGTATTATATTATTTAGCTTCGGTGTTCAGTGGCAGTAGACTCGCCGCAATGCATGCGTCAGAATCCACCTCGAGCCATGTCGTCTCACCCAACATCTCACCCGAGAACGTATTAAGAAAATATATGCATAAATGTATTTTCAATTAACTCAACATGAAAGTCAGAAAAAGTTACAAATGGAATTTCAATAACAATGAGTTAAAATTTAACAGAATTGTTTTGAAATTGCCATGCCAGTAATATATAACCAACATGACAACATTTCTTCATCAAATAATACCCCAGATACATTTGAGCTGGAATTGATTGAATTTCGTCATGAAAAGGCGTTAAGGGAATATTGGTATGGAAACTATCATAAAGCATCAAGGGGTTTGTAATCGCACTAATTGATATTAAATGAGTAAGCCAAAACTTTTTTAACTCATTCACATGCCAAATAAAGATTCCCATTCAATAATTTTTATTGAATGCCCGTCTGTCCCAGTAATAATTATATACAAGATAAAAAGTGACAGAGAGTGTACACAATTGATATCCAACCCGAAAAAACGCATCAGTTGCACGTATCAATGAGCGCCTCATATTGTGCTGTCAAATTAACATCAAAGTCTCATCAAGTCGGATTCCATTAATGTCAACTGTCCATACAAAGGCAGCTCGCTAATCCTCTCATGCCGTCATTGCGAAATCCAAACCAATGATTTATTTTTGAAGAGTGCGCAAACATCCAATGATAAAAACCGAGCCTTAAAATTACCCAAAATATGCCGATGATGAAGTCCGGGCCGCTAAATTGTTCAAATGACCGGGCCGCTAAATTGCTCAAAATTGAAGGCCGGGCCACTAAATTGCTCAAAATCAGCCAATGATAAAGACCGGGCCTCAGAATTACCAAGTTAGCCGATGATGAAGACTAATCCTAAAATTACGCAAAATCAGCCAATAACAAAAACCGCCGCTAATGAAGCTCGCAAGGAAACTCGTACACCAGCACGTCACGCGCGTCAAAGAAAGCTTCTCATTATTAGGTTTTATTTCTGGAAAAACCGGTAATCGGAAATCAAGTAAATATCACGAATGGTCCTCAACTTTGTTAACAAATTAATTACTTGTTTTCATTTATAATTTTTTGTTATTAATTGAACATTATTTGCATTAACGACTATACTGTTTAAATTTTTGGTATTTTCTTTATTTAAATTTGTATTTGAGACAACATATTCTTTGGACGAATTTTCATAATAATTTCACCAAGTTGTACGAAAATAATAAAATTACTTCTCGCCATATCAACCGATATTATTCGATACGCGACTATTCTGCTATTTTGGACTATTTTCTCCAGTAATAATATTTGAAAATAGTTCTAAATTTTTTAGGGTTACGATCTTAATTTGGGTGCGCTTGATAGCACTTGGCTGAGCTCAACATTCGACTCGAAAATTGAACCTCAATTAGCATTTATGTTCCTTTTAGTAAGTGTTCAGCTTTTTTGGTAACTTGATACTTTTATACACAAACCCTTATTTGTCTTGCTTATATTTTTGTCTTTTGGTGGTATATGTGACAAAATCTACTCATTGACTACGAAATAAATTGTTCACTTAATGTAAAAACATGAGCCTTGATAATGGGGTTTATAGTTGCATCGCTGACAAGGGTCTTGTCGTACCTGTGTCTGCATTCCCGCAAACGAGCCGAAATGACAAAAGCTAACAACAAAGGAACTGATCAAACTTTTTCAAAATAATTTTTCGATAACCTAATTAACCCAACTTTCATCGGATTTTCGGTCACAAATTCCCATTGAAATAACCCTTAAATTGTTTCTCTTGCAGCCTGAACGCAGTATCGAAATCGGCCGCAATGCGACACTCAGTTCTGGGAATCAAGATTCAACCGAGAGCAACCCTGCCTTGTACTCTTGTGGTTACCGGTACATCAGAAGAGGAAGCGAATTTACTTGCAATGATATCTTAAACAGAAACGAAATACCTCAAGGCACTGAGCAACGCCGTGTTGGCTTTCGGTTCGTTGAGTCCTTACTCGAACAAGACCGTGCAGAAGAATGCGGATCTTTAGATAGACGTTTGATGTCATCTCGTATCAAAGACCTTCGCAAAGAAATTGGTATCAACGATGACGTCACGTGGAAGTCTCCAGGTCACAGTACAGGTGATTCACAGTATGCTTTCGTAGACTCATCGAGAGTTTCGCCTTACCACGATCATGATGTCGTCAATAACCTGTTGAATAGCTATAAGTTAGTCTACAGACCTTCAGCTGGTCTTAGCAGTAATTATTACGATTCTTCATCAACAAGTTTAGTGCCCAGGGCCTCTCAGAACCACCTAGAGTCACCCAGAGTCTCTGGTACGTTAGAGTCTCCTGAAAAATTGACTCCGACTCGGGTGCCTCCCTTGGCGCGTCGTGATGGAGTAACGGCCAGCGGGTGTACGAGAAGGACTGACGAGAGCTACGTTTAATTAAAAAATTTAATACGTACATAATGACGGTAAAAAGCTTGCTGGCTCATTTTTTCATACTTTTAAAGTTATTTTTATGAAATAAACTGACCGAGGAGGTTGCTACTTGTCACTTGTAAATGTATTGCATAATGGCAAGGATTTTCTCAGACGGGGTAAAAGGAAGATTGGTATCCATTGTCATTAATGAATTTTTTGAAGGCCTTAATTGTCTCTAGCTTTTTTTTGTATCTATCAAGTGTCAATTTCGTTCAATTTGTGCAATGTTATACATCTTTGATCAAAGCTCTTAACTTTTTAACGTGATATTTAATTAATAAAATGCCAATCAGCGCGAATTTCACTTGGTCGGGCCTCAGTGTTTGGCATGTCATTGCCATTTCCTAAATTTTATCGGGATCAATTAAATTAATAACGAAGCTTTACGCTTAATAATCTATACTGGCAGTCATTTTGTGCTGTGACACAAAAATAGTTGCTAGATTTATGATGAAATTCTAACTTGCAGAGGTGATTTTTATAATTTCTTTCTTCTCTGAAAACCTGTTTGAGAATTTTTTCAATAATATTAAAATGACCTAAATGTTAACCTGTCTGAACAAGCTCACGATTATTCATCATACACGGTTACTTTATTTTAATATCGTTGATGGTCATGAAAAGGTTAATAATACAGACATATATTGAAAAGCCTTGCGTTCATCATAAAATACTGAATTTGACGAAAAGTAAATAAATATATGAAGAAAACATTAAAGATATTATGCCAAATTATTATTTCCAGAACAACCAACATGCGTTAAACTCAAATGTTCACGGAATGAACTGTATAATTGTGAAATCTGAATGATTGTTAGATCATAATTCTCGTTCAGGGCATTTTTACATTACGATACTGAAATCGTCCCATATTTTATGGCAATGATACACCCTTCATCAGCGTCATACCGCGATGCTAAGCCTCTTTTTTTCATGAAGATACACGTAATTGATATATATGTAAACCCGTTAACATTTAACCCCGATAATTAAAACGTTACGAATTTCGGTGTCGAAATGGGAAAACAGAATATATATAATTTAACTGTTGATTATTTTGCAAGACATATTTATGGAAAATGAGATTCTTGGGAATACAAACCCTCTAAAACAAGACTACATGCTAATAGCTCCCGTGACTAATTACAGCTAGTTTATTTATGTAACTTTTGCATTCGAACATCGGGCATTCTAACTCTGACTGACAAGGTACACTAAAGTTTCTGAGCCGCACTGCAGGAGAACTAAGGAGCTGTAATTGCCAGGAAAATCCTAATTGACAGTGAAATCCTGGTAAATAATGGAATTATAATAATGGGGCAGCAATGTTGGGAATCCTGGATCTGAAATGGGAGAAGGCAGGAGAGAACAGGCTCCGTACATGCAGAGATTATCTTTCACATAACATTATCTGGATTTGAATTCAGTGTTCGTAGATTTTAAAGACGCAACAACAGCAATCCCAATTAAAATTTCGCGTTGGAGCACAGGCAGAGCACACTAATTAGCGTCCAAATTTATTAATGAATAGAATATGCAAGATTTCCATCAAGCTGACCGCTGTTTAAAAAAGGCAATTTTATTTGTAAATGAAAGTTTGATTACTGTATATGTACCTTGATATTTTGATTTCGATATAGATATTTAGTATGTGGAGGGCATAATTCATTAACGAAAGATATATTTAGCCATCCCTCTTAAAAGCTACTTTGAAACTTATGTGAGCGAAGAAACTAAATTAACAATTTGATTAAATTTAAATTTTTTAAACACATAATAAGAAAACAAAATTTACTTATCACATTCAAAGAAAATCAGACAACAGTTTCTCGCAGCTTCATCGCACAAGTCAGCCTCGCTGAAGTTGTGGTCCAGGACCAATACTTTCAAAACTCGCTAAGTGAACGTAAGTACTTACGCTCTATTTTCTTGTCTGTGATTAGTGGATTTTGCTTGAAAGGCCGTCAATGATTGGCTGATGAACTTACGATCTCTTAATTTTTTTGAAAGTATGGCCCCAGGTCGCTCATGAGGGCCATGTCAAATTGTAAAGCGTTTCAAGTTGCAAGCAGTCGTGGGAAGCGTCCATATGACGGCGGCTCCAGCCATTGTTGCTTTAGATTTAGCGTCGGTAACGTGAACGCTTTCTGGACCTGCCTCTGCAAAAACACACCAGCGTATTATGGCAACATCGCAGCTGATCAACATCTCCTTTGGGTGGGAAGTTTTCGGGCTTTCTTGCGTATTGGTGATTAGAATTTTTTTGGCACAGGTTTTAACTGCAAATATAATTGTATTCCGAATTGATTTAGAAAAAACAGACTTGCAGATTTAAGAACAAATATTTACACGATGATAAAAATCATTTATTGCTGGGCCAGGGATTTAAACTTTGCTTGAAAAATAAAGAATGAACTGTTTGATTTTTATCACTTTCGGCTCGAATTTTTAGGTCTTTTTGCTCTGATTGAACTGTGGAACAAATTTACGTGCCACACAAAATGCGCGTTCCAGGTTAGATATAACAATAGAATGTCGTGGTTTTAATTTGCCTTTGTTTTCAAATCCAGATTTGGCAAACGCCTTTCACTGGGCTCTGAGAACTGTCGTTTGAAGGTGCACAGTGAAATTAATAAAAATATTCTGTTAGTATTAAGTTGGACACCGTAAAGACCAACCTCATTGTTTTCATTACATTTTCCATTTCAAAGTAATACGGAGCCTCGAAATGTGTGTTTTATTTGTTGGTGCGAATTGTTAATGGAATAAGGTTGATAAACACTTATTCATACACATTATATGTATGCATTTAACGAAAGAAAATTAAATTGTATCGTCAGTAATTAGAAGTGAATGTTTCGTCCGTGTCTGTTATAGAAATTAAGTGAAATAATGTATCATTTAAGAACATCGTTGGTAATGTTATTAATCGATCAGTCGATTCAACTTTTAATGAAGCTTTCAACCAATTAATTGATTAAGCTTTTTTGGTAATTAATGGAATCAAACGAATAAACGAATTTCGTTTTATTTCCTATATTATATTATTTATACTGAGTCTTTTCTACTAAGAGTTGTATTATCTACTTTCATACACTCATGAAGATGTAAAATTTATTGAGGTTAACTAGTTGCATAAAGCCTACCATTTTTGCACGATTTATACTATTATTAATAATCAGTTCACAGCATTATTCACTGGGCAGGGTGGCCTAGTGGTTAAAGTTCAGAGTACCAGGATTGGCGCAGATAGGCGCGGGTTCGATCCCAGCTCTGTGCGCCAGTTTCTGGTCAGAATCGGCAGGGAGGCCGGGCGGTTAAGCACAGCAGAATTGTAGCAGTGAGTTGCGAGTTCGAGACCTCAAAATGCTGTGAATGTTCTGCGATGTTAAGAATTGGCGACAGGCCTATGGCCTAATAACGCTGAAACCGCTATTATTATTATTATTATTCGTCCGTCGTTAATTGATTTTCTTAAGCAAGATCATTTCAAAATAAAGATGACCTCAAGTTCTGTGTATCATATTTACCCACTCTGAAATTTTTACTTTAATTATTGCTTTTCATGTGACTTACAAACAAGAATGGGTACTTATTGCCGAGTTCTGTAAAATAACTAGATTATATACTAATAATATGCGTTTAAAAATTACTTTTTAAAGACAACACTTCCAGAGAATCCAGTGTCTCCAATCTTAAAGATGTACCATGAATTTCTCATTTAATTTTCGAATATTAAAAAAATTAATTTTTCAATTTTTTTAATATATAAATTTTTTTGATATATAAATTTTTTCTTTCAAAATTATTTATTCTATTAATTGATTCATGCATTGCCTCTGACTTCACACAAGTGTGCAAAATTTCAGATCAATTAGACAGGTAAAAGTATGCCAAATATCAGTTATAAGATTTGTAGCTGACAAAATTATTTTTTCAAATTTTGTAATATTGAAAAAAAAAATTTTTTTACTTTCTAAAATCATTTATTCTGACATTTGATTCATGCATTGTCTCCAACTTTAAACAAGTATGCAAAATTTCAGATCGATAGGATAAGTAGAAGTGTGTTAAATTTTGATTACAAGATTTGTAGCAGACAGACAGACAAACAGACAGACAAACAAGAAGTGAAGTTAAATAGAAGTGTTGTAATAATTCATACAAAATCTATTTATTCCTTAATAAATGCGTTAAGATCGTAAATAAATTTTGCTGGCTCAGTTTTCTAGAAGAACGCGTTCTAATACGTATTACTGGGAAATTCCTTCGTAGAAGTAGACCCAGTCTGATTGCTTGAAAGTCGTATTTCTTACTCAAGGCAAGCGACAGGTGAGGCAGCCCGGTGCCCGTGAGAACTATCCGGTGAGAATACCCAATTTATTTTAATAGGCTAAAATATTTCTTCTAAAGTATTGTCTGATAATTACGAAACTAAATCGAGCTTTGTGTTTTCTTTAGGTGTTGTGTTTTCTTTTTTTATAGGGTTTTTGCTCTACGACAATTATTGAAGGAGCAAATTCGTGTTCACTTAATATTCAAATAATGTTGTTGAATTCAAGACTGAAGGAAACGAAGTGCACTGGTAGCAGCTTCAGCTATTGTAGACATTTTCCATACATCAAATGAAAAATATTTTTTGCACATCGTCTATATCTACGATCAAGTTATTTTTGTATTTAAACAGAATTTACAATTATTGCGTTATCATAGTGAAGACAGAAAAAAGTCTTATAGAATGAGTTCTAAACCAAACCGAAACCCACAGGCACAGTTTCTTGGCCACAAAAAGCACGACTCATTATCGTACTAAACTCCAGAGAACAAGAACCCAGATCGATAGACGCGAGTAAGAATCTTCAGAAAAATACGTGACTTTTGTTAGTCTGAAGCAACAAGGCATCATAAAAGAATGGCAGTCCAAACAATAGTTTCTTCCGATCCTTTCACTCAGATGAGCTGTGCTGTGTTCACATTGATCTCCTCACTACAGAATTCCGATGCAGCGCTCGAGCTCCTCCAGCACCAACAATCCTTTCAGAAATCCGAGCGCGTCCTATGGTTCCGTAAACAGGGGCCACACTTTCAAGACTCGCTAAGTGAACGTAAATACTTACGCTCTATTTTCTTGTCTATGATTGGTGGATTTTGCTTGAAAGGCCGTCAATGATTAGCTGATGAACTTACGATCTCTTAACTTTTTTGAAAGTATAGGCCCTGGACATTTTGTCTCCGCCTTCCTGAGAAAAAATTGAGGCATTCAGAGTTTCTTCCTTGCTGGACATAAAAATAAATGACACTTCTTACAAGCTTGATGATCTCACATCAAGCATTGATTGAACGAATATTTAACCCGCCTACACATACAAACGAATTAATGCTTATTTGCCAATATGTCTTCATGTGGAAATTGTTACACTATCGCGCAGTGAAAATTTACTTCAATGTGTGCTTAAAAATGATATCCAGACGATAAATTTTTTATCGACATTTTT